AGGTTTTTCCATCTGTTTACATCTTCTACAATTTCTTTTTTTAGTGTTTCGTAGTTCTCCCTGTATAAGTCTCTCACATCTTTTGTTAAATATAGTCCTAGATATTTAATTTTCTTTGAGGCTATTGTAAAAGATATTGCATTTTTGATTTGAATTTCGGCTTGGCTGTTATTGGCGTATATGAATGGCACAGATTTGTGTGTATTGATTTTGCATCCTGAGACTTCGCTGAATTCATTTATCAATTCTAGGAGTCTGTTGGATGAATCCTTGGGGTTTTCTAGATATAATATCATATCATCGGCAAAGAGCGAGAGTTTGATCTCATTTGTCCCCATTTGGACATACCATCTATTATTAATACTTTAGCTTTGCTTGTGAGACCAACATAAATCTAATTGTTACATGATATCAGAACATAATAAAAATTAATCTATTTCTCTGAAAAACTAATTAATAGACACTATTAGCCTAGACTCTTTTTCATAATCTCATCGGCCACATATTATTAACAGTGAACAAATAGAAATATGTTGTTGAATTATCCATTGTTTTTTATTAAATTTCTTCTTTAAGGCCTACTTAACATGCAACAGAATAAGAACAGTTTACTAAAATCTATGCATTGTGCCTTAATGTTGTGTTTCTTTGAATTTTTTTTAAATCAAGGCTTATAGATTAGAACCGTTAATACTTAAACACTACAGCAACATTTCACCTGTCCAGATCCACTGGTACAATACTTCAAATCCTCTACCTTATGAACATATGAAACCAAGCTTTCTCAACCCAGCAAAAGAACCTACCTCAGTTTCAGAGAATGAAGGCATTTCAACCATACCAAGCCCCCTGACCTCACCAGTCTTGTCCCGCCGACACTACGGAGAATCTATAACGAATATAGGCAAAGCAAGCATATTAGGTAATGTCTCTTAAGTATTCCTTATCTATGAATATAAATGCTTTTTGTATAGACATTAAATTTGGGAGACTTGGAAATATTCTATGTATTACAAAACTTCCAGCAGTTAATCCCTGTGTCTAGAATTTACTCTTTCACTCTTTATATTTGAGGACCAAAAAGCACTAAAGTTCTCTGATTGGATCAGATACTATAGTTTTAAGATATGAGATAGCTAGATGAACCAGAAAAAAGCATTATTCTGAGAATCAGGTCCCTCATTTTAATCTTGGTCCTACCACTTACTGAGAGATCTTGAGCAAATCACTTAGATTTTAATGCTCTTCTTGCTCATCTGTGAAGTGAGAGAGTACCTGTGTTCTGAGGCTGCCCTCGCCCCCAACCAGTTCTCCAGTCTATTCTAAAAGTCTTTCAAACTGTGTGTTTCCTGAGGGCAAAAGGGATATTTACTTTCTCTTTGAACGATCTCCAGCACTAGCACATTTGGTGTATCACTAGAACTCAATTATGTGCCACTTTAATTTGTCCATTGCTTTTGGTTACAAGTTGCCTTAATATAAAATGCCACAAGATGGCACTATAAATAGGCTTTATCTGCTGGACTCATTTGCTGTTATATTTCTCTTTGTCATACTCACACATTGTTTATTGATGGCTTTTTATAACATATACACTTAACTTCAGTAGTAAGTATATTAATAGTAAATATATACCCATATCAATGGCATGGTTCTTTTATTAAAGATTTTAATCTTACCAAATATTTTAATAAACAGTGATCACTTGAGTAAAATAGAATCTTTATTCCTTTGTATATTTCTATAAGTTATATTCTTCTACTCACCATTTTTCTTTAGAAACCTACAATATAAATTGTAATTTTCTTATGTTCCCACCCTGGAAAAATATGACTATGGCATGGTCCCCCTGCCAATTGGCTATAATTATGGGTGGTGCCCTTTAGCTTGGTGTGTGGTGTAATTCAGCAGAATGACTACCCTGTTTTGTGAAATACAGGGGCTGCTAGCATTGGAAAGGGACTTGGAGGAATGTTGTTCTCAAGATTTGGACGTTCATCTACGTCACAGCCATCTGAGACATCAAAAGATTCGATGGAAGATGAGAAGAAGCTGGTTGCCTCACCTCCTACTACCACCATAGCAACGCAGACCCTTCCACATAGCAGCTCCGGCTTTCTCGATTCTGCATGTTAGTTCCTACAGTTCTTTCCTTAATTTTGTGCCTTTTTAAAACTTGGGGAGGGTAGGGAGATCTAAGATATTAACACTAGCAGTTAACTCTAAGATCTAAAGTATGTTAGCTTTTAAAGAAAAAATACTTCTGTTTACATTTTTAAGAATAATTTCCAGGTAAATGCAATTTTATTCTCTAAATTGGTGAATTAATAGTTAGAACATTACTAATCAAAGCATTGTGGCACAGGGATCTTAAACATCAGCATAAAATAAATCTCTTTGGGGTAAGTACCCCCTGGTTTTTATAAAGTAGATTTTTACTAATATGGTCTTCTCAATCTTAAAAATTCATGTAATTGCTTCAAATCTATGCTATATGTGGTCTTGAGACTTTTTAAAAACTGCTATGCCAAAGCCTTCCTACTTCTCATCCCACAGTTGCCTTCATCCAACCTAATTATAAGACCTTCAAAGCTTAGAAATTTTATTGGACCTGCTGTATGGCTTCCAATCCTATCACAGCTACCTAGTGTAAAGCAGGTATTCAAGAAATGAGTAACTGAATGGAGAGTTATGTTGGACTTAACATTATAACAGACCTTAGTTTAACTTTTTCCAGTGGATTTATAAAGTTTAAAATCTTGAATAGTTATGAAACATTATGACACCTTCCAAGGGTCTGAACTTGAACATTATTTTTTTAAATGTCCAGTAAAATAAAACTAATAAGTCCTATTTTTCCAATGGTGTATATAAGGAAATAAAGATTCTGAAACTAGCTACTTCCTTTAAGTAACTACAAGAGGAAAATTTTGCTTTCTTTCTCTGAAAATTTTTAAGCGGATTTTGTTACTTGTAGCATTGTGTTATTAACTGTGCTACTCTAAACTTTAGAAATGTCTGGGATTCATTGCCATTCATAAAAGTAAAAAAGGAAGTAAGTCCAGGTATGACACTCCCAGAGGCTGGTTGTTTCCTCTGCAGTCAGCCCCACTCCAGGATGAGTATCAGTAGGGACGTTCCTATTTGGCCAACAGCATTTTTAATTTAATTGTCTGTGCCAGACTCTTTGCATACTGAAAATTTTATAATTGCAAGTCTTTTGAACATTAGACTTTGATATTTGTGTAAAACTCATATTTTAGTTTTCCTATGAGTTACTATATTACTAGTACCTATACTATTTTTGACCTAAATTTTCCTTTCTACTTAATATCAAAACTGTGATTGTGAAAATGCAAAATTCTGTTGTGACATGCAGATATCAGAAGAAAACTTACTTTTGAGGAAAATTAATTGCAAAAGAGTTTTGTAAGATGGCAAGTAAAAATTCACAGTTCATTGTAATGCTGTTAATGCACAACAGTGATGCTAGTAAACATTAGGGCGAATAAGGGAGCACAAAGAAATGGGTAGGATTGAAGCCTCAGAAAAAGGGTAGTGAAGACACATATAGATTCTATAGCTCAGAGAGAAGAAAATGCTTATTATACTACTTAACATAGTAATTTCAAAATAATAATAGAAAAACTTCCAATTTCTTCTTCTAGAACAGCAGTTAGTAGAGGTGTATGACTGTATTGAATCATTATATTTTGATAACTTAACAAAATACATATACTGTCATTCTTGCATATAAATTATTTGATGGTCCAAATAGTAAATTTCTTACAACTAGACTCAACTAAATTTGAGGTAATCATGAGTCTTAGTTACACGTATTCATCTCTAGATATAGATGTAACTATTAAAATTGGACTATTGCTACAATAGGATTCTACTTTTTAAATCAGATCCCCAAGATTTGCTTTACTAATTATTTGACTTGCTTCAATAATATGCTCTTCTGTGTAATCCTGATTTAGACAAATTTCTTATGTCATAATTGCTCTCTTCCCTATATCTTGCAGATCATAAAACTTTTCTTCATTAAACCTTCGTTCTGGAATTTGGTCGTGATTCGGTGATTCTGGCTTCCTTCCTTCCTTCCTTCTACTCACACTAATCGCCTCAGTCCTTCTGGATAACCTTTTCTCTAAAGCTGCCGACTTGGATTCTCTTGCTATTTGAGGGGTAAATGGGACATAGACTTTGAAATCATGATCAATCAAACAGGGTTTCTTTCTTTGACAAATAAGTGTTGTCAGTTGAAATCTGTATTTTCATCAAGTTGAAGCATCTTATATAGCTATTCTTCATTTCTTTTGAAAAGCCCAGGCTTCTTTTCAGTGGTCTTACTGCTTCATTTCTTGTCCCCTCCTCCCATGTTTGTAACATATTATGAAAAGAGTATTTCTGTTAGCATTTTTTGCCTCTAGGTTAGAACCTAAATTAGCTATAAATTTGGTGCTATCTGGGTGTTAACATTATGAGAAAGAGCTCCTCACAAAAACAAGGTGTGTACTTCATGTATGCTAGTTTTAAACAGCTTACTTGGTAGTATTGTTCTAACTTTTGGCCACTACATCATTGAAGGCCATTTTTAACCATCAGCCAGTTCTTTACAGCATCTTATGTTTTTTTTTCACAGATTTCAGACTTCAGGAATCGTTCTTTAATCTCCCACAACTTCTTTTTCCGGAAAATGTAATGCAGAATAAAGATAATACCCTCGGTATGGTATATGTCAGGAATAGCATTCAGAATATGATGAAAATGATCTGCTTAGAATTCTTCTGCTCACTGAAAAATTGGATCAGTTCTGCTATGAGATCAGCTTCAATGTTACCGTTACAGACTATTTTATATGTATTTTCTTCCCTTACTTTCTAATCTTAAATGTTAGTGGTCCTGAAACCTTAATATTGATTAGCTACTTAATGTGCTAAAATATATGATATTCCTGCACATTCCTATAAAGAAGGAACCTTTTAGAGAGAAGAGAAAAGCATTAGGCCATTTTCTTTTTTCTTTATCGTCCTAAAGGCTTCAAAGACTTTCACTGTTCTTTTCATGTAACACACTTAGATATAAAAGGGTTTCATAGTACAAAGAATCATTCTGAGTTATTTCAGGTATCAGTAACTTCACCATTTAGGGTTGCATTAATAGATATGCTATAACGGATATCTGTTTTCAACATAAATATTTAATTTACTTTGGGGAGGGTAGATTCACTTTTTTAAAAAATAGTGTTATCGGATGCAAGAGATATTTTCAGTTTCAGTCTCTTTTAGCATATTCTAAATGTATCGCTAAGGATTAATTTTATCAGTTTAAAATTAATTTTATAACTAACTTCTCATTCCTTTTTCCACAGCTTCTCTGTTTTCTTTTTTTTAATATATACACTAGATTTTTGTCTTTGACAAAAAATGTTACAATTTTTTTGAATATTTTAACCACATTTAATTTTACAGTTTCTTTGATTACCAATTTTCATAAACTTTTTCAATTTAAAAAAAAAAACTCTTACATTACTTGATGCAAGTTCCAAAATAATGTTTTAGTATAATAAGCTGGGCGTTTTTTTGTTTTGTTTTGTTTTGGGGGTTTTTTTAGGTCCATAGCAACAGTTTGTGTTGATTTAACTCAGTGAATTCCGCTTAAGAAATTATGTAAGTGCTCTCTCTGGTCCCTGCCCATGTTAATAGCCAATTATTTTCAAAAAGAAATAATTTTATTTATGCTTTTTGCATTTTTAGTTGAAGGAAGGAAAATTAATTTGCTCATATATTTGTCCTGCAATCAAGTAGGCATGTATATCCCCTATCTCAGAACCATGCTAACATCTAAACAGTTAGACCACTGATCATAACCACACCAAACTGATTTAGATGGTAACATCTATATGGCTTCTATTTTCTCTTCTCCTGTTTGCATTCATTCAGCAATTATTTATTAAATGTTTATCATGAGCCAAGAGACCATGGTAGTCACTAGAAAAGATACCAAGATGAAATAGACTTCAATACTGCCTATAAAGATGCTAGTATGAAAATTAAGTATTTTCTAGAGAGCTTTCATTCTAGTACGAAAGGTAGATAACTGCATAAATAATTATAATAATATATGGGAGAACGTGACAAGCCACTTAACAGAGGTAAAGGACTCTGTCAGTTCTAAGGAATGAGAAATTGCTTTCACCTGGATAAATCGTAAATGACTTTGTTGAAGTGGGACATACAGGATTTGGACATTGCAGGGAGAAGAATCAGCATGAGCAAAACCACAGAGGTGGGAAGCATGGAGTATGGAGAAAACTATAGTTTAGTTTTCTTGAGAAAAACCAAGGATGATTAGAAGGGAGAAGTTCTGAATATGATTGAAAAAATTTGTTAAACCAGATTGTAAAGGGTCCAACAAATCAACAAATCTGGCCATCCATTTCTTGGAGTTTTTGGTATTCAGGAGTTACTTTTATAGCCTGTTTGTTGTCAAATGTTAGGCATTTGAATGTCTTTCAGGATAAATTAGTTGGGAAAACGTTCTTGGCAAATATGACAACTGATTATAAAACTCGTTTTAGAATGTTTGTTGTTACTTTTTAAAAATAAAGGATGGGGCCGGGCGTGGTGGCTCACGCCTGTAATCCTAGCACTCTGGGAGGCCGAGGCGGGCGGATCATTCTGAGCTCAGGAGTTCAAGACCAGCCTGAGCAAGAGCGAGACCCTGTCTCTACCAAAAAATGGAAAGAAATTAATTGGACAGCTAAAAATATATGTAGAAAAAATTAGCCGGGCATGGTGGCGCGTGCCTGTGGTCCCAGCTACTTGGGAGGCTGAGACAGTAGGATTGCTGAGCCCAGGAGTTTGAGGTTGCTGTGAGCTAGGCTGACGCCACGGCACTCACTCTAGCCAGGGCAACAGAGTGAGACTCTGTCTCAAAAAAAAATAAATAAATAAAGGATGGTTTGAGAATATTCTTAAATATATTTGAAACTATGATAATTCACAAAATGTAAATATTCCTTGAATGTCAAACACCCACATGAAATGTACAGTTGCTCTGAGGCAGCAAGACATAACCTGCAACAAGAACTTTAAACATAGTCTTTCTTATTGTCAGTGAATGTTTCCCCAGTCACTTGGAAGCACAAAGTATCTTTGCTAGTACTTTAAGTATTATTCTTGTTGTCCACCTGGAGCCAAATATGCAATTATGACCACAATTTATTATATACTAATAAGATAGCATTTAAGATTTATTAAATTTTTGAAAATTTCTCTCCAGGGAAGTTGAGATATTTCCATTAAATAATAGAAATCTGTCCAATTAGTACACATTGTAATTCAAAGATGCTTACTTTCTATTCATACATTTTTTTAATATATCCATGTTGACAAGCCTTGTGCACAAAAGAATTCTTTGATGAAACCACAGTACTGATGACACTACCTATACACTGTGGAGGTTCCTTGAGTGTCAGACACTTAACCACATGAAATGTATTATAGCAGACATTCTACTTTGGGGAACTGGGAAGGAAATATGCCCATATGTGACTCCCCAGAAAGAAAATAATCCATGTTTTTAAACAGTGTAAGCAAAGAGCTGGTGATTATTAATATTTAAAACCACAGTTTCTTTTCTCATTTTTACTTCTCTTCAACTGTTCAGGAACCTGATTTCTTTGTGTATGGAGGAATTCTAGGACTGAGTCATTCTAAGAGAGAGAAGGGAGAAAAAGTGATGATTTTATGTTCTTCTTTTTCTTTGACCTAACTCAGCTAGAGAAACTAGGAAAAAGCTACCAACCTCTGTGGTACCACCCATTCTTGATATGGTAATAATGAGAGAGTAAGTCCAAGGCAACTCCATGTGGATTTGAGCCTACTTTGGCCAAGAGCAGATCTCACAGCACATAAAGAATAGTGCTGCCATGTAGAACTTCACTCCATTGGAAGTTCTGTGGTCTACTTGAAAGGGATAGAAAAGATGGGACATAGGCCCACCTAGTTCCGTCCATCTACCTACATAATCAACATAGATGTGAGGTCAATTGCACCAACAGCCACACTGGGATAAACCTTTTGAGGAGGATGGGAGACTAAAACAGGAGTGCAAACTGACTACCTAATTCTCATTTTGATGGAGACAACCTGAAGATAAATAGAAAAGGATACGGGGAGCCAATCTAGTTAGTGGCACTGATTAAAGTCCCTGCAGTCGATAACAACAAGGGCACATAATATGATAGGACTATAATTAAATTTAACATTTGAGTGTCTACTAACTGAAAGATGGCATTATAAGATAGTAATAGTATATTAAGAATAATTTCAGGGACATAAAATCAAAGGGGAGCCAAATAACACCTGTTATAACAGGGAAAAAATCTCCCTTTCTTTGACTTTAAAACAATTTCAGCTGAAGACTGTTGGACTAGGAAGATAATATGCTGTAGCATTTGAAAGTAAATTCTTAAAAATTATAACTTTGTGGTCTTCACCGATATTAACACGTATCTCTTCTGTTTTTCATCTTCTTTTTTCTTTGTAATTAACTTCACCTTGACCTCTCTTCATTGTGCTTGAGAATTCCCGTTTCCTCTTTTTTCATCTTCCCATCTGTTGTGCCAAAATGTAATGTACCTGTAAATCTAACACAAATGCCTCATGGAATACAAAAGATAAAAGATCAGGACATTACTACCTGACAGGTCCACCCATGGATTTCAGCTATTTCTGATTTGTTATGGATTAGCCTATTGTAATTTAAATGGGGAAAAAAAAAAGCAGTTACAAAAAACTTACTAAAAAGCCTGTGTCAGTGTATTTTGTAAGTATTTCTTATCCTAATTGGTATTTACACCTTTTAAGTATAAACCTCTGAAAATGTACAGATTTATAAACATTCCTTGTTAGAAAAGCATGATTGAATAGAAAAATAACAACTGTATAAGCATTTTTAAATTACCAAATGATATTGTCACAAAATACCTATTTAAAATAAGCATTAACTAAGCATTTATATGAAATCTCTCCCAGAGTGTTATGATTTCCTATGTGTGATTACCAATTCCCAGTGTAAAGCAAAAGCCAAGTTTTTCTCCAACCTCCTTAATTTTTGCCAACTTTACTACTAACATCCTTTGATACTTCGAACAAAAAGCAGACTTTAAGTGTCTGAGTGGTAGTGATTTGGGTGGCTTTGTTTTGTTTGTAAGATAGACCTTTCAAAATACTATATAGTTCATTGACGGTTTTAAAGGAGTTCCTGAAGATCAAAATGTCATTGTTTAAGTGTTTAAGGATTTTTTAAATGAGCCCATTGAAATTCTCTTAGAGCCTTGATTTGTTAAGGTGATTTTTCTCTAATAAGTATTACAAAACTTTCTGTGGATTTTAGAAAAGACTTGATTGAATTCACAAAATTGTTTGAGAACAGCACTGTTGTAAGCAAAGTCCTTCCTCCCAAGAATCACCACTGTTCCTCCCAGTTTAACTTTCCCAGCCACCCAGTGGGTTGTTCTTTTGTTGAACAAACATTTTAATGAGCACTTGTATGTCCCAGGTACATGTTAGACCCTGCTGACTTGGAAGGAGATTAGGGTTTGTGGGAGTTGCCTTTGAGGAATTCAACCTAGTGGGGAAGAAAACATTCTAGGACTGTAAAAAGATGGTTATCTTCTAACATATCCCCCACAGGACCAGCAGATACATGGCACCTCCCCAGTCTAGGAGCCAGTGAGTGATGTGTTGCACTCCCGCAGGCATTATTGCATGCACGCCTGGCCCATAATTCTTTGAGAGGGATGTTTTCCTTATTTTACAGATTAGACACAAAGATTAAGTGATAATGCCAGGTTTTGAGCCCAGTTTGTTTTACTCCAAAAATACTCTGTGATACCAAGTGAACTTTTGTTTTCTTCCTTTATTGTTCCATATTGATTTCAGCATACAAAGGAAAGGATTCCACCAAATAGAATCCTGAGCTTCTGAGGCTCTTTTGAGTGTTTTTCCCTTAAGATAATGGCAAGTTACTTTAAAAAAAAAAAAAGACAATTAGAGAATCATTTCTAGTAGCTAAATTTTTACTGTCAACGCTAGTGAGTCTGTATAGAACATGTCTTATTGTAATCTATATTCATTTGTTTAACTTCTTTTCTTTTTAGTGGAGTTGGATCACAGGATTGATTTTGAACTCAGAGAAGGCCTCGTGGAGAGCCGCTATTGGTCAACTGTCACGTCACACACTGCCTACTGGTCATCCTTGGATGTTGCCCTCTTTCTTTTAACCTTCATGTACAAACATGAACACAATAATGATGCAAAACCCAATTTAGATCCAATCTGAACTCATGACGGACATTAATGGCCCCGAACTGATTTTTTTTCCTGTTAAAATGCCTGTCAAGTTACAGAGATTTCGGGGTTAAGTATGTTTCAGTTTTGTTTAAGGCAAGAAATATTTTGAATTTATAAGCACTTTATTTTTTTTAAAAAAACATGTTCTCAGTCCTAAAGAAGTTATTTACGGTTTCCATCATTTTGATTATGAGTCTGACAGCCCCCTGCAGAGAATCAGGCAAGCCTGGAAGTAAGGAAGTTTTAGGTGAACTGCGTATAAAGGCTATAAATCACAATCTAATTTCTCCCAAATATAAAAGCATATTAATGAGTTGAATCTAATGTATTAACCAAAATATGTTATAAATTGAAAATGGTCAAGGTACAGTGTATTTATGTAAAGATCATAAGGTGGTATCATTGTTTTAGATTTCTATGAAAGCTTCCATTTCCACATCCTTTTGAAAGAAGAATAGAACAGATTTAAAATGTTTTGAATTTAACTTGTTTAGAAAAACTAATGTTAAAGAAGAAACAATATTTGAACTACTGTATTTATAATTTATTGCCTATGACTAATTGCTTTATTTCAGTGTATGAAACATTACATTTTTAATTTAAGAACCACATTTATTTTATATACCGTTACAACCCTTTTTTCTCAGAACTCCATCTTTGTACTCTTCAGATGACTATATAGACACTGTGGCATACTTACAGTATTTTTTTTTCATGAAAAACTTGAGGTTTCACACAAATAACACTAGTTCAATTTTTTTAATGAAGTTTTTATTGTCACATGTACCTCAGAGAAAGCTAAAGTTGTTCTAAACTTGACTCAGAGTACTCCATAATGGGTACATTTCATTAACTTTATTAGAAAATTACTAAATGTCTTTAGGGAGTATGACAACTATTTTAAATGTATAAACATTTATGTGCCAAACAACATATGTGAAGGGATGGAATTCCACTAACAAATTTTATTTTTAAAGTGCATGAAAAACCATTGAGATACAAGGCACAATAAGTCAGGATTCTGAGGCATTGGAAGGGTTTTCATCAGCTGGAATTGTTTCCACAGTGCTTTTCATCTGAGGGGCTCAAAGTATAAGAGGGGTACATTCAATAATCTATGTAGTAGCTCCTTGAGATAAGTAAATTAGTGTTATTCTCATATTACATGTTAATACACCAAGGCACCAAAGCATTTAAAGTGCCTTGCATTAGATTACGCAGCAAATCAGAAAAGCTTGGATTGAATCCAAACTACTCTTTTATATGTTGTTCAGTGAATTTATTCACATATGACCTCCTAGTACTTAGAAAACAATAATAACAGAAGTTGCAATTCATAATTTGGAAAAATGACCGTGAAGCCAGTATGTTATCCCGCTTGACTTCTACATTCTTGGATTTGCACACACAAAGGAGGAGTTACATAGAGGTGATCAGTAGCCATCTCTGCCACACCCAGCCCTCACTTCTGAGTGGTTTCCACTAGGCTCCACTTAAGGTGCTGTCTTTGCTTATCTTGCAAGGAATTTCTTAGCTTCCCAGTAATTATTGTCAAACTGGGAACAAAGTTGGCCAGTTGTGTATCTCACCTACTCCTTTCTTGGTGAGCTAGTGGGGTCAGTGGCTTATTTGTAGGTATTACTGAGCACCATTAGTACTGTTGGCTATTTTGGCCTCTCATTGAATTTGCACAACATAAAGCACTCCTTTTTAGTGTTTAAAAAATCCCAAGACTCCATGACCAAGTACATGACTCACTAAGAAACCCTTGCTATAAAAGGCTTTTGATGCAATCTCAGCAAAGCTGAAGCAATCTCTTGAATTTAGAGATTCCTATTAACTCAGGTCATTTCATAGCCTGTTTATTTTGTAGGTCTAATTTAGTTCTCAGGAAATTTAAACTCATGTTACATGACTATACCATTAAAGGTACTTGAGCATATGTTGCTGTAGGTGGTGTGACACTCAAATAACGTAAGAACTTTAAGGGATTCATTCTTAACCACTGGATCATGAAGAGCCCTTTTTACCTGAGAAAAGTGAAATTCATGTCAAACTTTTTAATTTGCTATCATTAAGGAAAAGGAAAAATACGTTCCCGTAGCTATAGGAAATTGTCTGCTTCCTTTTTTTATTTCCAAATATTGAGAAAACAAAGTCAAATTTAACCACTTTGAGTTTATTTGAATTCTTGGAAAGAACAATATTCAAAACCTCTTTTCAAAATAAGATGTTCTGGGCTACTGGACAGGTATTTTGTTTTTAATTCATTATTTCATCAGTAGAGATGGTGACTTTGGTTTTATAGTATCCTTATTTCTATGTCTCTGCATGTTATCATGGGATGTACTTGTATATACTCATTAATATACAGAGTATGTGTAATTCTGGCTTGATTTAGAAGCTAAGTCAGTTACTGAGTAACATTTTGCAACTTTATTCCAGCAAGCACTAAATTGGCCAAAAGTTTTGTTTTTGATACCATTAAAATTTTATTCTCTATTTTGTGTACATGCTATTATGATTCTCCTGAGTACTTATCGGATCATTCACCTTTAATCCAGTTATGTTCCCGAGTTATTGAAAATTAGAATAAGGAGAATTTCTTGGATTAAATCTTGCTTTATTTTTACTTGAAATTTAGCCTTGATAAGGCCTTTTGTTAGTTCATTTTCAGCAGTAATTTCACTCATAGTAAATGTTACTGTATTTTAAAACATAATTACAGAATATACTGGGTTTTCCAATAACTACTTTTTATTATGTGAAGCAAGCCTTAGGAATCTTATGTTTTACTTCTTGCTATTAAACAGCATCTGTTAGCTTTGTTAAATGCTCACACTGAACATGCTTCATACTGAATACTCACACGAAGGTCTCAGAGAGAGACGTGTAAACATTCATCCTCAGTCCCTTTTTCTTTTCCTTCTTGGGAGCTGAAGCGTCCTAATGTATAAGGCATTTAACACACCGTATCTCAGCTTTGCATATCCTAAAGAGTAAACAGGAGGAGGAGAAGTGGTTAGTGCAGTATCAAAGCTGGTGCCACTATTCATTCCAAAAGAGTACCTGCGCCCCTTACAGTGAGTCAAACCCAGCCAAGAGATTTTACTGTAAGGTCTATAGTAGGAGAAGACAAGTAATTTTGATCAACCGATCGATATTTCTGTCTTCTCAGTTACTAATGAGTAAGGCATTTGGACAATTGACAAAACTATGTGTTAAAATTGGTTTGGATAATCTTTCGTTGTTATGGAAATGGGGCTAAAGAAGAAACATGAGATGTTAAAGGTCAAGGCAGAGCAAAAAGGAGAATGTAGCAATCATGTGCAGGAAAAAGAAACTAGATTTTTACTAAACTGAGTGTTGAGGAGTTGAGCTCTGTGGTTATTCTCAAGTGTTCTCTCTTATCTGTATTCTGCTGTCATCGCTGCACTTGAAGCCTCTGCCAGAAATCTGATGGTTCTCTGAATTTGAAACACATGAATCTCATCTCGAAGGTCTCATTAGTGAACGTTAGTGCTGAGATGGTGACAGCTGTTTCAGACATCAGTAGATGTTTGTGATAATTTTCAAAGAACTCTAAAATTTCAGGGTTTGTGTAGATTTTAGGGGTCATCTAATCCAACCCTAGACTAGTATCATGTAAGGCATAGAAATAGCAGTAAAGGTCATGAAAAGTAAAGTGAGGACTGCAGACTCAAGGAAAGGCTGAATACAATGACAAAGGAGGAAGGTGGGGGAGTCTCTAAGGAAAAATAGTAGAATTTTAAAGCTGGAAGGTGTGGAGAGATCTTTCTTTTCCAAAGCATGTTCTGCAAATGTTAACAAGTGTTGTGTCAGAAAACAAGTTTGGGAATTTCCAAATTTAAAAGGTTCCTTTACAGCAGGGCTTTGGGAGCTTTTGCTATACTAAATGCATTGTGAATATATCTGGTGCTGCACGGGGGTTCCAAATCTATTTAACCATTTTTTAATTTGGAATATACTTAGAGAAATGCTATCACATTTAATTCCTTCATTGTACAGAGTTTCACCCCCTCATGTGATTCCTTCATTTTAGAAGTGACCATTTTCACCCTATACAATCACATGGCCAACCAATGCCATAGTCAGAATTACAACCTAGTCCACTGATCCCAACTATGTCTTATACCAAACTCAGTTCCCCCTAATAGACAGTGAACTCCTCCTAAAGGGCAGAAACTTCTCTCTTGGTTTTTGTCCCCCCACCTCCCCTGCACACACACCCCTTTTGTGTAACCAGATGCTTTACTCACAGCAAGCTGTTCACAAATGTCGATAGGCTTGAGTTCCCCAGTTGTTCCTTGTTCTCCAGGCCCTCATGAAAGAATGCCGTAGCAGGCCCCGACAGACTTCCTTTCATGTCTCGGATTCAAAATACCCAGGAAACAGAAAAACAAAGAAATGCAAAACAACAAAAGGAAAATTAAAGCCAGGTGTGGTGGCACATGCCTATAGTCCCAGCTACTCGGGAGGCTGAGGCAGGAGGATCACTTGAGCCCAGGAGTTCAAGGGTTCAGTGAGCTATGATCATGCAAAGGAAAAAAAAAAATTAAGAAAATATCCAGGGAAGATTTTTATTTTGTATTCTGATGACAAATGCAAACTTAGTAAGGAAACAGGTTGCACAGTGTTAAATAATGTTTAATATTCCTTTCTGTAGTGTTTATACGTTGGCCTTTTATCAATTCATGACAAATACATCACTTCTAAAACTGTTTCAACATAGGTTAACTCATAGAAATTTAAAATTTTAAGTACATTTTGGAGACTAGAGGAGTCCTTATTGTTTTTGTGTGTGTGTGCGCACACACGTGTGTATGTGTGTTTTCCCCAAAAATAGTCCCTTGGCAGATTGTTAGCATGAACTTTTCCTATGCCTTTGTGTTTGAATAGGGGCGGGTGCATGCTTAGCATTGTCTGTAACCTTATGGTTTTTCATTTATGCATAACAGGGTGCAACTTGCTTCCTCCCCACCCTGCAGTTGTCAGGATATGTTGGGAAGTGTTCTTTAGGGAGATTACATCTGGTCTTGTGTTGGAGTAAGACGAAAAACAAGTATG